AAATCTCAGTATATATGGAGAGTTATTTATGATGACAGTTTTAGGCACAAGCAAGAGAAAGAAAAAGGCAGAATGAAAGAAATCACAAAAAAGGAAACCAACAGAAAATTATGAAGGGTAAAACTATGGAGTCCTCTACACTGGCATCATAGTCAAAAATAAACCACGGCCCTGGGTCCTAATAACTCTTCTAACAAGGGTGTTTTTGTGAGTATCTGCAACAGAAGGGGAGCCTGGGTATTCATGAAGACTAGTTAAAGACTGGGCATGGTGGCTCACGCCTGTACTTCTAGCACTTTGGGAGGCCAAGGTAGGTGGATCACTTGATCCCAGGAGATGGAGATCAGCCTGGGCAATGTGATAAAACCTCATCTCTACCAAAAATACAAAAATTAGCCAGGCCTGGTGGCGGGTGCCTGTGGCCCAGCTACTCTGGAGGCTGAGTTAGGAGGATAGTTTGAGCCTGGGAGACAAGAGGTTGCAGCGAGTCAAGTTTGCGGCACTGCACTCCAGCCCGAGTAAGAGAGCTAGACCCTGTCTCAAAAAACAGCAACAGCAACTTTCACCCATGTAAAGTTAAGTTCCCCAGACACTAAGACCACATATTATATGATTCTACTGATGTGAAATATCAAAAATAGGTAAATCCATAGAGACAAAAGGCAAACTGGTGGTTCCTGGAGGTAGGGGGAAGGGAGAATGGGATCTGACTGCTTACTGGTTTCCTTTCGGGGAGATGACAGTGTTTTAGAAGTAGGTAGGGGTTTATAGTGTACATTGGACACTGTAAATATAGTAAATACCCACTGAATTGTACACTTTTGGTTAGCTTTATGTTATGTGAATTTTATCTCAATTTTATTATTTTTATTTTTTAAAATGTAAATGATTAATTAAAATGTAAAATTTTTATGTATTAAATATTTGGAAGACAGCGTCTCTCCCGCTCTGTTGCCCAGGCTAGAGTGTAGTCACGTGACCATGGCTCCCTGCCCCCTTGAACTCCTGGGCTCAGGCCATCCTCCCAGTCTCCCAGGTGCTGGGACTACAGGTGCACACCACTGTGCTTGGCTAATTTTTAATTATTTTTTTGATAGAGATGGGGTCTTGCTATTTTGCCTAGGCTGGTCTCAAGTGATCATCTGGCCTAGGGTTCCCAAAGTGCTGGGATTACAGGTGTGAGCCACTGCACCCAGACCCTGAAAACCTGCTATGCTAATATGTTCTATAAAAATAAAGGCAAAGCCACTAAAAAATATTAGAGAGAGATCGGGGAGGGGGGGGAGAGAGACAGATAGTAGGGTAGAAAATTACTTGCTGGCTCATAAGAAATCTGACTTTCAGGCTTTATAGAGCTTTCTGGTCTGCTTAGGGTAGAACCACTGCTCAGTTTTGTGTCTTTCTGTTTAGGTTTACTAGCGATTATCTCTTGTAACATCTGATTAATTAGCGTATCCATGATCAGGGATCTTTTCAGAGCTTGCCTTATCATCCATTAGCAAAGTAAATGAGAGAATACCACAGTCCATGCATAAATGCTTATGAAATACCTCCCTGTGCTGGGCCTGGGTTACCAAGGCAATAGGGCACAGACTTTGCCTCTAGGGGTACTAGGGAACACAGTGGGGTTACTTCTCTACTGTAAGAAGGGCTGGGAGTCTAGATGGCTTCCTTCCTATGGGAGGTGTTAGAGAAAGCCCGCACTCCGGAGAGACAGGCCTGTGGTCAACTCCCAATTCCATCTCTTTTTTTTTTTTTTTTTGAGAGACAGTCTCACTCTGTTGCTCAGACTGGAGTGCAGGGGCACGATCTCGGCTCCCTGCAACCTCTGCCTTCTGGGTTCAGGCAAGTCTGGTGCCTCAGCCTCCCGAGTAGCTGGGACTACAGGTGTGCACCACCACACCCAGCTAATTTTTTATTTTTAGTAGAGACAGGGTTTCACCATGTTGGTCAGGCTGGTCTCAAACTCCTGGCCTCAAATGATCCACTCGCCTTGGCCTCCCAAAGTGCTGGGATTACGGGTGTGAGCCACTGCACCCAGTCCCAATACCACCTCTTTCTCAACTTGGGACTCAACCATTCTGGGTCTCTGTTTTATAACCAGTAAAATGAGGATGACATCTGCTCAAAGGGCTGTTGTGAGAAATAAATAAGATAGTATGCATAACGTCCCTAAGCAGGGTGTTAGCTGCATTCAGTGCTCCATAGATGGTGGCTGTTTTTAATTAAACATGAACGTGGCAGGTATGGGATATGGGGAGGGCATTCTGGCCAGAGGGAATGGCATGGGGACAGAAGCCAGAGAAAGTAGAGCTCCTTGAAGGGAAGATCTAGAGGATGGGGCTGGATGAACTGGAGGGTGAGTAACAGGAGATGGCTGGAGAGGGGCTGGGGACCCTCTTGCAAGGGGAGGAGCACTTCATTCCATGCCACAGAATTGGGCTTGACTCTGTGGGTAGGAGGGTAGCAAGTGGAATTGCCCACCGAGTTCTCTCTGTCATAGCCACCACCAGCTATTCTTGAAACCTTTAACCCTCTAAGAGCCTCATAAAATTCATAAAAATCACCTTTTACTTTTGCATGTTGGCCCTTTTAATGATTACATGTCACCTCACTTAAATTGTCTAGACAAAGGAATGTAAACTTGTTGATGAATTTACACATTTCTCAACAACTATCTGCTGAGTGAACATTTGTTTTAGTCACCATGGGGATAAATAAAACTTTATAATCTTAGCTGGGAAAATGAGACACACACACAAAGTGACAAGGCAGGAAATGCCAAAATGAGTGGGAACAAAAAGTCGGAAAGTGCTGCAGGAAGGCTCAGCTTGGTGGTCAGGGCCAGCCCTGGGAGGGCTCCACAGCCCCTCTTAGCACACAGAGCTGGTAATCCTGGGCAATAAACTCTATCAGAGCAGTGGCGGCTCAAGGATGGGAGGCACCGCTGGATGCTTTGGAGTCCCAGCACCACCACCTTATGACAGACAATGTTTAGAATTGCCAATGCATGGTGGTAATAAAAAGTAAACCTATCTTAGGTTGATTTTATTGGTGATTTTAAATTTTCTAAAGACAAAGCCCCACTTATTCCTAATTGCTTACACCCAGGGTGGGTGGACTGCCCACACCCCACGCCCCCTCCTCACCACCCCACGCCCCTTCCCCCACCCCCCTCCATTTGCTTTGCCACTGTTTCTGGGTCTTAGTTTCAGAATCAGCAAAAGGGGATAAACACCCACCTTAACAAGGTGTTCTGACAAGGTGAAATGAGACAATCCAAGTGAAAATTCCTTCTGGCCCAGGGCTTGACATGGAATACTGCACTTAGCAAGCGCTCCTTTTCCTCTATCATACTCCTTTCGTCTTTCCCTCCCGAAGTGGTTCCAGAATCCAGTGTTGATAAACTAGCCAAGGTGGTCCACTTGCCTTTCTGTCTACACCAGCACTGTCCATATTAACATGCACCACTCCTCCCATGAGGATGTAAGACGCTTGGCGCAAACCAGCACCCTTTAACTTCACTCTTTAATGAGGATACACACCTTGCTGGGAGGCTACTGTGAGAAAGGGTGGCTACAATGGATGCAGCATTTCTATAAGCCCTGTTTTCCACCCCATGATCCAAATCTCAAACAAAACACTGGATTCTCAAGAGCTTGTCTCCAACTAAATTGAGCAAATTACATAATGTTATGTGAAATTATATCTCATCGCAAACAACTTTTCAGGAGTTCTCGGCGTTCTCTCAAACACTCTCAACAACAATGCTCACTTATCTGCAGGCAGGCTAGTTACTGCTAAACACTGGGCCCCTGTCTAGAGCTCTTAGTTTTCCCAAAAGCATCTCAAAACTCACCGTGAACAAAGACAGAGAGGGAAGAACATGCTATGTCTTTGTCACCTCTTAATCTTGATGTGTCTACACTTTTTTTTTGAGTGTGGGAGCAATAGAGAGTGCACATTCTTTTAGCGATAACAAGAAAACCCGCTAGAACTTATTTCAGCGTAAAAAAAATGGCTCAAAGCTTATAAAATACTATTGTTATTAGGAAATTCAAAAACACTTTTCTCACTTTCTAATTAGTGCCTTTACAGACTAAAAACAACTCATCTGTCCTGCTTTTGGGGAGAGGAATATAGAAAATATTTGACCACATAAATTAATGAAATTTATTTATTTGGTCAAGTAGGCAGATACTTAAAAATAGACTACCAGTGGGGAAAATATTCTAGGGGAGCAACCTTCTTGCAGCGGATCAGAAATACTTGGATCCCACAGTGTTCGAGGGAGCTTGGTCCTGGGGAGGGATCTCTCTCTTCAACTCACTTAGAAGGAATGGGTTCTAGGTAACAATAAAATCCTCCTCCTGCCCCCTCCCCTCCCCCACCTCCCCACCACGCGGAGCCTCTGCTATTGTCACCATACATCTCGCACCGAGCACCTCCTGGACACAAGACGGGGGCTGCTGGTACTGATTCTCTGCTAAACATGCCAAGGGACTGCCAGGGCTTTTCTCTACACCACTTTTCTCGCCTGTAAAATGTGCAAGAAAAAAAACTTCCAACAAAGCAAAACTTCAGCGGCAGCGGTTCGCCAATTTATGTTGAAAAGATCGGAACGTTTATTGGTGGGGTAACGTGAGACCTTTTCTTTTTGGGGGTGGTCCTGGGAGAAACAGGCTACACAATGACAAGTGCAACGCAGGACCGCAGGCTCCCCCAGGGGCTTCCGCCCCAACCTCCTCCGTATCCAACATCCCGTGGCAGGCGGGCTGCACCCTCCAAGATCGAGTCCAAAGGGGCATCGGCTGGGCCCGCGAAGGGGGTGGCACGCCCCACCTAAACGTGACTGGGAAAAACTCTAGATCTCAGCCCAAATGCCAGTTTGGCTTTCGGAGGAAACTGAGGCAGGGGTGAGGAGAAGACGCAACCGGGACCCCCGCAGTCTCCCCTCAGCGTCCCTCCGCCCGCGCGCCCCATTCCCGTGCGGCTCTCACCTGGCCTGCGGGCCCG